TCGATCTCCTTATTGACTCCACCACAGGACACGAGCTCCTGAGTTTTCTAGATGCTTACTCTAGGTACAACTAGATCAATATGTTCCCTCTAAACCAGTAAAAACTTCATTCATCACCCTAAAAGGCACCTACTGCTACAGGGTGATGCCCCTTTGGACTCAAGAACACCGGAGCTACATATCAGTGCCTCGTGAACAAGATGTTCAAAACTCAAATCGAGAAAACATTGGAGGTGTACGTAGACGATATATTGGTGAAGAGTATGGCCACGGTAGACCATGTGACACACCTCCAAGAGACATTTGATGTACTGAAATCCTATAAGATGAAGCTGAATCCTGAAAAGTGAGTCTTTGGCATTAGTTTAGAAAATTCTTAGGCTTCATGCTCAACAAAATGGGTATTGAGCTCAACCCAAATAAGATTAAAGCTATCTTAGAGATGAAGTCCCCAACCTCTGTGAAGGAATTCTAGCGCCTTAATGGAAAGATTGCAGCTCTCAATAGGTTTGTCTCAAAATCAGCAGACATGTGACTGCCTTTCTTCAAAATCCTTCGCAAATCTTTCTAGTGGGGACCAGATGCAGTGGAGGCCTTCTAGAAGCTCAAGGCCTACCTCGTCACACCACATTTTCTCTCCCATGCTATATCAGGAGAGATCTTGTATCTCGACCTCTCCTCCTCTGTCCTTGTCCAGGAGGATAGAGGCATCCAGAAGCCTATGTACTATATAAGCAGGGCATACCGAGGGGCAGAGCTAAGGTACTCAGAGCTTGAAAAGTTGGCTCTCGTACTTGTCATTGCTGTCAAGTGTCTACACTACTACTTTCAGAGCCACATGATTGTGGTTGTTACAGATCAACTACTTAAGAGAATTCTGGGAAAACTTGATGTGTCCCCGGCCGACTACTCAAGTGGGTCATCGAGTTAAGTGAGTTCAATGTGCAGTACCAACCGAGGGCGGCCATCAAAGCACACACACTTGCAGACTTCGTGGTCGAGTCTACACCGCCATAGCAATCTCAAGAGTCTACACCACCATAAGAATCTTGAGAGTCTACACCACAACAAAAGTTTCGGGATGAAGTATCACGCGCCCTGCGCTCACCTGCTCAATGCATAATACCTCCACCCACCATGAGGTAAGCCCAGACACTATCCCGAGAGGGCCTAGTGTCTCAGAGACAGCTCGATAGGCCTCGAGAGACCACACTCTGAGACTAGAGGTGCCCGACTCCCTTGTTCCTACTCCACCAGAGCCCTTTGACTATACATGGATGGGTCTTCCACCAGTGAGGGCGGCGGTGCAGGACTACTGCTGATCAACTCCCATGGCACTCTCTTCAAGTACGCTGTCTCTCTCCACTTTGTAACATCAAACAACCAAGCTAAATATGAGGCCCTCATATCAAGCTTGAAGCTCGCATTGGAGATGGAGGCCCTCTGCCTTATAGCATCCAGTGACTTATAGTTGATAGTCAACCAAGTAAAGAGATACTTTGAGGCAAAGGAGGAAAGAATGCAAGAATACCTGTTAGTAGTCCAGGCCTAGTTAAAAAGGTTTACCTACTTCCAAATCCATTATGTGCCCTAAGAGGAGAACTCCATGATAGATATCCTCGCCAAATTCGCATCTACCAATATACTCATGGGTCTAGCACTGACAGGCCACTAGTTCGAGCCAAGCACTTTCAAGACAGAGGAGGACGATGTTAATTGTACATCCTCTAAGGCCAACTGGATGACACTCATCTGTGCCTACCTAAAGGAGGGCGCTCTCCCAAACAACCCGGTGGAAGCCAAAAGGTTGAGGATGAGAGTGTCCAAGAATATAATCGTATGCAACACACTCTACAAAAAGAGTTACTCATTGCCATTACTCTGCTGTCTTACCCCCGAGGAAGCCAACTATGCCATGAGAGAAATTCACGAGAGGATATGTAGAAATCACTCAGGAGGGAGTGTAATAGCCCACAAAGCATTAAGGCAAGACTATTACAGGCCTATCCTGATCAGAGACGCCCAAGAGTTTATTAGGAAGTGCGATGAGTGCCAATGCTTTGCAATTATACCCAGACAGCCACCTGAAGAGCTCACCACCATTCAGAGCCCTTGGTCCTTCTCCATATGGGGGATCAACATCCTGGGTCCTTTACCCATGAGTCGAGTCTAGTGCATAGTCTATCGCTTCGGGATACCCCATGCCATTGTGAGTGACAATGCCAAATAGTTTGACAATAAACTCCCTAATAACTTCAACGCTGATCTACAGATCAAACAGCCACACTCCAACCCAACCCATCCCATCCACAGGTGAATAGATAGGCGGAGGTCACCGTCAGAACTATCCTCCGTAACTTAAAAACTAGACTGGAGCATGCGAAGGGGCGATGGGTGGATGAAATCAGGGGAGTACTGTGGGCTTACCAGACAACACCAAGAAGCCTCACGGGCGAGATCCCTTTTTCTTTAGCATATGGAGCAAAGATGGTCATACCCATTGAGATTGGGGTACACTCCCTTAGGGTCTAGCACCATGACCCTACTAGTAATGATGAAGACATCCGCATCAACCTCGACTTGGTAGACGAGGAGAGTGAGATAATCATGCTCAAGAATGCATAGTACAAGCATCATATGACCAAGTACTACAATTTAAGGGTAAAACCTCGCTCTTTTTTGCCCGGGGACCTAATCCTCAAAAAGGTCATCCTGTCTATCAAAGACTCTTGGGAAGGGAAAGTAGGACCTAACTGGGAAGGACCCTTCGCGGTCACGAAAGTTATAAGACTAGGCACCTACAAAATCCAGAATCTTGTGGGAAAAATTATGGCCCATCCATGGAACGCAAAGTATCTAAAGAAATATTACCAGTAGCTGGGGGCACGGTAGTGGGTGTACAAGTCAGTAGTCACTATTTAAATTATCTATTGTTGTTTTGGTCAATTTTCATTGTTATTTGCTTCGGATTATGAATTAAAATTTCGAAAGACTTTTCAAAAGTCGTATCTCATAAAAGTTCATAAAGAATTTACAAAAGATAAAACATGGTCTAGCAACAAAAACACAAATACAAAGATACCTTGATCCTGACATCACTTATTCACCTCTAATTCGCTCACCACCTCATCATTAGTCCTTGAAATGTCATATGGGACGAAGCCAGAAAAGTTATAAGCAGAAAAATCATCTAAGACCTTCCCTTTGAGTTCCTCATAGCCATCAATAAAGGTGTCTGCCACGGCCCTCTCAGCAGCATCTCTTTTCTTTTCCATCTCTATGGAGTATGCCTCTGCCCTGGTAGCTCACTCAAGAGCCACTCGAAGTCAGTCTTTGCTTTAGCGGCCCCCTCACGGAACGCTCACAACTCTGTCTCTGCTCTCGCACAAGTAGCCTCTCTGTTAGCCTCTAACTAGGCGGTCCTTTCACGGGATGCCTAAAGCTCGGTCTCAAGTGTGGCTGCTCTCTTGTGTGCTAGCCTTGAATCCTCCTTGGTAACCTCTTACGTTTGCCTCTCGAGCCTTAGTTGCTCCTCAATATCCCTCTACACCTACCTCTCTGTTGCCTGACCACTAAGTGCCTCTCTAAGCTTCAACGTGCTCGAAAATAAACAAGGAAAGACAGCAGCCACCTATACGTATCCAAAAGCCAGAGCATGAAAGAAGGAAGTCAAGTACAAGATCAAAGATGAGTAAAGGGCATACCAAAGCAAAGCCCTCCATCGCTGTGTCAATGATGCCCTCTAGACTTCGAGAACCAACCTCTTAGATCTCTGAGGCAGTCACAAACCCCCACATTCGCTCCTTGGCTAGATTCACATCCTATAGCATGGACATTGAACCACTGTTAGAAGTAGGACCGTCAGGCGGAGCTTCGGTCCTCGTAGGAGACCGCACTAAAGCCTCAATCCTTACGACCATACTAGGATAAGCTCTAGAAGGCGATGGTACCACAGTAGGGAAAAAGTGAGGGCATCACCAAGTCCTATCTCTTGGGGACTATCCTTGCCGGCAGACCTCGACTGAGAAACACCAGGGGCATCAGGCCTCGCCTTCTTAGAAGAAAGAGGAGAAGACATCACCCTAAAAGCATAGACAGCCTCCACCAACGCCCTATCAATAAAAGTACCTACAAACTTGGTGTGAGACAAAAAATTTACGATGTTGTAACCATCAAGAGTCTATTAGAAGGATTAGGTACCTTTCCTCTTCAACCTATGAGAAATTTTAGGACGACTTGACGCGGACATGATCTCCGAGAATTCCTTGAAAGGATGGTCACGAACTATCTGAAGCCTACTCTCATGCTCCATAGATAATGTGGGTGAAACTACATAGAAGCCAATCATATAGTGAGAGTAGATATGTGACAACTAGAAGTAAAAACAAAAGTAGAATCCTTACCTAGCTTGGTCCTCAGGACGGTGTCCCACCTTGAAGGCACTAGGTCACGATCTCCCTCGATGGCTCACTCGCCTCCAACAAAGAAGAACTTAGACTTCCAGCTATGACAATTCGAAGGAAGCCCAGTGATGAATTTGCCCGACCTCGGGCCGAAACGACGCCACCTTGATAATTAAAGGAGTTATCTAGAAGCACATACGTAGCCAAAAACTCCTCAAATGGGGGAGAGACGTCAACATTGTGAACCAACCACCATAATGAGAAGCATGCCAATATCACCCTCCACCCGTTGGGAGCCAACCTCCCAGGAGCCAATGAAAGATGTCCTAGGACCTGACATATGGACCCAGGTATTAGAAACCTCAAACCCGCCTCTAAGGCATCCTCATAAAGAACAATCTCACTCGATGAGTCATAACACGCTTTCTCATGCTCCTCTGCCCAACAATACATGACGGCATGAGGGATATGGTTCGAAGATACGATATGAGCGATATCATCATCATAGTCAATGAAGCTGAATATGGAAGTCACATTTGAGCCATTATCTCTAATAGTCCCCTTGCTTCGCTCGATGTCTCAAGTAGCCTCCCCTACGATGACCTTGTTAGAGTGGGTATCTGCCAACAAACAGAACCAAGACAAAATCAAGGTCAATGTCAAGGAAATACCACTATTTGTTTGGTTTTTTATGGAGTCTAGTTGTGTGTTGATCTGGATGATGATCTGATTCGAAATAATGTTCTGTGACTTTTAATGAAAAAATTTCTGAGACTTAGTCCATGGAGTGGAGGCTTGGGCCAAATTTTTTAAAGAACATTATACCCGTTTGAAGAACAAGCACACCCAAAGGACCGTTGGCGTTGCCAGTTGATCGCTGCCCACCATGGGCATCGCCATCTCCCTCGCCGACGTCGTCCTCAGTGCTTATGACCACCTTGGATCTTGCCCTGGCATGACCTTCGCGAAACCCAACTCAAGCTCCTATCCGCCTCAACATAGCCACTCCCCTCTTCTCGCAAGCGCCCATTTTGATCCCCATGTCGCCCAAAGCATTAGTGCTGCCTAGTGACTCATTGACGTCACCTAGTGTCTGGGACAACTCAATGGCGTCGCCACAAGCCTCAATGCCCACGTGACTTGACAGAGGAGGGGTGTTGCCCAACGAATCACCGAAATATTTTTGAACCTCACCCACTTCGCCCACACGGGTGTCGCCTTCCTTTACGGGACCTAAGCCCCTGCTAGCACCACTAGGGCTTCCATCTATCGTGCCTCCCACGCCCTAACAACTTGAGGCATCGCCTGCTAGGCCAATGCCACCTTGGCCCCCAACACTATCCTAACCTTGACCTAGGGCCCCAATTGGCGTCACCCATTACGACAAAGCCAAATGTAGCCTAGGTTATGCTTGGGTCTTCTGGAGCAGCCACCTTCTTCCCTATAAAGCCACCATTGGAGCCCCCCATCATCTTCTCTCCAAACTCCTTTTCAAGATCAGCTCCATCGTCCTCTTTGATTATTTTATAGGTAGAGAAACTTTGAGCCTTAACCACAAGAAAAAGGTTTAGAGTAGAAAGAAGGGGTGGAGTAAAAGTGGAGAGGGTTTTTATAAACCCTTTAATGAGATTTTTTCTAGAAAAAAATAAGGGATTTCTTCATGAATGACAAAAGAACCAGCAAAAGGAAGAAATGACAAATGCCATGAATGCCTAATAAATGTGATTTCAAGTGAAGGGAAGGATTTACAGTCTATGAAGATGGAAGAACCACTGTAGGGAACAAGAAAACTTCAGCTCGTCCAAGTGAAGAAGACACTCATGCCCTCAACCCCCTTCTCTTGCAAGCAATCAGAGCCTTGGGGCATGGGGGGCAAATGATCAGCCCAAATCCAATTAGGTCAGGTCCAATAAATCAAGTAAGCTCAAGTCAGCAAAAAGACATATCAACTCCAGTGCGTGAATTCGACCCAACCCAAGTCCGAAGAGTCCAAGAAGAATTAGAGCATATGGGGAGAAATTATCGGGATACTCACTCCTGAAGATCAAGACACGTTTTAATTGTACTTACTTTTTGCAGCTATCCTCTCTGAAAAATTAGTGTCTTCCCCCTTAAGTCACCGCCTCAACTCAACTAAGCCTTTGTGCTTATAAATTGTAAGCTCTTTCCATTGAGAGAAGCATCTCTACACCTCTCTACACGCCCCACACAGTTTTTCTCTCTCCTAACTATTGTATCTCTTCTATGACTAATTATTGCTCTCTCTCATTCACCTCACTTAATCAATAAAAGGTCCCCCCGCCATCGTTGTCGTTTCCCGGAATAGAGTAGGTTATCTGCACCGAACCACTATATATTTGTGTGTTGACTCAATATTTACATTATTGTCATTGATTGCTCTATTAATTGTCCATTAATTACATTTTATCACACTCGACTGTTGATCTTGCAAAAGATTGTTTTGTGCATCATCAGTTCGTATAGATTCTTTTACAAAGTCAGGTGAATGAAATATGATCTCAACCCACTTTGGATGATAGGCGAAGATGTCTCGGTGAGGTTAGTAGTATGGTCCTTGGATCAAAGTTAGGATATATCCGCGGGTTAGGGTATGGACAAGTTTTTTGCATCCATTAGATTGAGCAAGTACAATCATGTAGAGGTGGAGGTAGCTACAAAAATGATGAGATAGCTAAGAGAGAAACTAGTGAGTTGAAGGTGTAGATACAGTCTGTTGAGGAAAATATGTGGGCACTAGAGCAACATCTGGAGGAGGAGAGAAAACAAGGAAAAAGAGCGTGTCAGAGGCCGATGGAGGAGCAGATGCATGCAATACAGGGCTTTGTCAAGAGCTTTCAACCATGTAGCAGCCCTACAACTCTGCCTCCACCTTCACATCAATGGTAAGCTTTTAATTACTATGGCATTTAATTAAAAGGGTCCGACCATAGCAGCACAATTATTATAGCCTTTAAGTTTTAGGAGCTTGTGTTGATTTTGATATGGCTTTCCAATGATTACAAAAATTGTTAGTGTAAAAATATCAGTTCTATATTGGTTTTTCACCACGTCTGTCGCTTAGGTTTTTGTGAAATTAAACATGAAAAGTTAATGTTAATTTCTTAAAAAGAGTTGAATTGCAATAAATTATTCTTTTACATTTAATATTTGTATTGATTATGATTGAAATGGGATGAAAATCAGGAAATCACAAATGATAAATTGAGATTAAAAATAATGATTAATAAAAAATAAATTAATTTTCAGCAACAAAATAATTCATACCTCTGATTATTTTTTCGTTCGTAATATTTTTGTCACTAAAACTTTTATCGACAATTTTTATTGTTGTTAACTGATAAAGTAATTTCATCGTCAATCATATGAATTTTACATTAAACATTGTTGACTTAAAAAATGACAAATGAGCAACGAAATTTTAGTCATTAAATAACAGTTTGGTGAAACAAAAAAAATGTCGATTTATGACAAATGATCAATGAAAATTTTTTCGTCATTAAAAGTAGTTTTGTGTGACAAAAAGTAATTGTTGGTGAGTAGAAAATTAGTGACAAAAATTTTTGCCAGTAACCAACCATTTTGTGCGACGAAAACAAATCGTTGTTGAATATTAACCTTTAGTATCAATTGATATCGTTACGAAAATGTAAGTATTAACTATGAAAGTTTAATTGGGTCACTAAATTCTTTTTTCGACTCTCACACGCCCACCAACCAGTGGACGATTTTTTGGGTGGAGGTTGACATTTAGTGACGAAATTTTAATATTAAATGACGAATTTTTTGGTCATTAAACACCGATTTCTTGTAGTGATTAGCATGTGACATTAGGCCTCTGTCTGTCAATCCTATATGCACATCCTTTTATCAAAAACCATTTTCATAAAATCCATCGTTCCGTAACTGGAAAATATGTATGTATATAAATATAGGATATGTAAAAATATTTGGATCAGAAATAACCCAATTTATAGGAAAACATTTTTTAACAATTATTTCAAAATAATAGGATCATTATGATGGTAGGAAAATCTGAGTCCATCCCAGAATAGAAGCAACCTACCAATGATTTGGATCATATTTGGATTGGTACCCCTTTTCATAATCTCAATCCAATAGAAATCGAGTAATCCATGAACCTAGATGCCACAACAATATATTTAATTTTCATAAAAATCAAATCACAAAGTACCATTTCATTTTGACCGTAGAGATCTCACCAAAAACATAAGTTAAGTTCGATAGATGTTGTCATCATAACATAAAGAATAGTATACCAAAATTTCATCTTCATCGGGACATATTTTGCCGTTTGATTTTGACCATGGATTTCTATATCTCTCTCCTCTTTCTGTCTTTTATTTTAATGCCTCAAAATCCACAATAGACACATTAACTATCTATGAACCCATCCAATCCATGGGAGCGTACTAAAGTAACCGTTAAATAATAAAACCATCCATCGCTTCAATAAAAAACTAAATCAATTCTAAAAAAACAAAAATAGCTTATCATATTTAAATCCCAAAATTAAAATAATATCTTGCAACTAACTAAATAAGAAGTATTCATAACATTGTCTATTAACCAAATTTCAGAAAATTAAACTAAAAAGATGCATCTCTAAGCCTGCAAATTTGGATCCACATCCTGATTCACCTTAGCATCAAAATCAATCTGCTCATCTAATGTGATATGTTCTTCAAATCCAAAATCTGAAAAATGTTTATATTGTAGGATAACCAAACGAGCTTAGTAGGAAAACCTTCTCAAACCCAAACAAAGTTTAAAAAATATAAAACAGGTAAGTCTCAGTTTGTAACAAAAATACATAAACTTTGCAGTAAAATAATGATATTTAATAACGATCTCAAATTTGCGACACAAACAGTAAATCTCATAGCTAAAGATACCATTTTCAAATACCATATCTCAAAAACATGGTATCTCATGTATGTAGGTAGACTAGCACACCGAACCTTTTTGGTCCGCCCACCACAAACACAAATACAAATCATCCAATCAAACTCTTTAAGAAGGCTATCTATCGACTCATTCAGTATTGACGAATCATTCTTAGGAATAATATACTAGCATTTAGAATTGAACCTACGTGAACAAATAGTAGTTGACCCTCGTAAGAAATCAAACCTCCTACGAGAGTTAGGTAATCACTAATCCCTCAAGGTAGAAAAACTTCTAACACTCTACAGTACGAATTTGAGTGTAATCCATGATCATCATTTCCACCCATTCAAGATATAATAACAACATTTTTCCATAAAATCCATGTATACTACAATCCATAGCTTCACAATTTTCAAGTAAAAGAATAATTAAAGCAAAATATGCAAGAGATCGTAGAAGCGTTCATGTTCACAATATTCAAGATCTAGTGTTTTAATCAAGAATATTTCATTTTTGGATGTAAAACATGCATTTGGATGTAAATCAAATATTTATTTAAGAATTTAAGCATATATTAAAAAAGAATATAAAACATTGAAGATCTATCATATAGATAGAATTGTAAATCAAGAACTAGAATCTAATGAATGAATCTTGTGTATAAACAGGGGTGTTCATAATTCGGGGCTGCCCATAGATCCTGTTATTCGACCCAAAAAAATAGGCCTAAAACTCGATAGGGCAGATTGTTGGCCTGCCCAAATCTAAGTCCAATATCCTTCAACAGAAGACTTGAGCCTACCCCCAAACCCATTACCCACCCCAAAACCCAGTTCAATAGACTACCCATAAAACCCAGCCCAAAAACCCGCCTGCCCAACCCAGCCTAGCCAGTCCGCCTGCCCGCTCTTCATTTGAAAAAAAGTTAGACTGTTGAATTTGAAACTTTAAATTTTTTTCAAAGTTAGGTGCACAGTGCACTCAATGCACAATAACTCTTGTTGTCTTACACATCAAGACCCAGGTTATCAGCACATGCTTCTTTCTCTCTTATGTCAAACAGTCATGCTGTCTTGCACTAATGCACATACAACATACTTCTGAGTTCTACCTGGAAAAAGGTGAACGGTAAAAAAATGGGGTATTTTATGTATATTTTTTTCTGAAAAGTATTTTATGTATATTTGACCCCAACAAACGTTCATAAATAAACGGCTAATTTTCATTGTATATTTTATAAATAAAAACAATTGTATTTCATTTCAACCCATCATAGTTGCAAATTACAATTGGTCTTATTTTACTCTGAAGTTTCATTTGCTCCAGTTAAAAATAAAATAAAATTCTCACTTGCTCTCAACTCTCAACTCTCTAAGTGTTCTGATGTCTCAGCTATCAAGCCTCAAGACTCTCTAGTTCTCTCATTCTGTGAAAAATTTCTTTTTGTACATAATTTAAGTACTTAGTTTATTTTTATAATTTAATTTACGTAATGGTTTCATCTCATTCATGAAATATTTTTCTTGCGAAATTATTGAGTCAAATCATGGTCAAGGATCAAATTTTCATTTCGAAATGATTGAAACACCCAAAACATTTTCGTTTTCAAAGAGACCAAGACGAATCAATAATAGAATTAAAATTCTAATACTTTAAGGTGTTCCATAGTGTTTCGAGATTTTTTTAATATTTTAATACATTTGTACAATTATTTTTGGAATATTTTAGGTATTTCAATAAACTTTGGAATATTTCGATCAATGTTTTGAAAAAATAATTCTTACATCTATTATTTTTTTTATTTTTTTTTTGAAATGGATCGAAACATTTCTATTTTTCAGGTGACCAAAACAATAAACGAAAATAAAATACATCAGCCACACAAGTGCATCATATACAAAAGGTTACAAAACCAAGGACGAAACCTAGAGGTGCAAATCCTGCGCGTGGATTTCTCCTACTCTATGATGGTCACAGAGGCTGCTTGCTCAGTTAGGGTTGCATGTAAACTGGCACGACAAGCAGGAGTAGAGCCCGGAGTTCTTCATAGTGGGGGCAAAAGAAAACAACATTGTCAATACTCATTCCACCTCACAAATAAATAGTTAAGAGGCTCGGCAACTATCATATTTGGATAGAGTTTTGATTGATTTGAATCCGATTTTAAAACTTAGTCCGATACAAATGGGAGCAGAATTTAACAAATTTATATTTCAACTTTAATATCGTTACATAACTACTTAATTTAATTAGTTTATGCGTGTATATATATATATACACACACACACACACACGATATTAGATCACAATCAATTTCAATTTTAGTATATCTATATCTATATATATAAATCTGCCTCTATTTAGTGGGAAAAAATTCTAAATAATTTTGAAATTTTTATATAAAGCCCAAAAGTTATTAAAATTAGAGTGGGGGCAATTTTCCCCACCCTAAATTGGCCACCGACACTCTAAGCAAATGCCCACCCACTCGATTGAGGGAAGTTGAGACTATTTAGAGGGATATAACTCTCAATGCAAATCAAATCAAATCCCTTCGGTTCAATTTCACCTCATCAATAGCTCTACAAATCCAGTAACACATTGGATAGCTACTCAATCAAAATAGGGCCGTAATCCCTTCATACGGAGCCTCTACTCCACCTGGAAGGCTACTGGAGGTTGTATCAAAAGAAGCCAGAATAGAAATAGGTTGAGAAATGCTTTGGATATAATCATACTTCTATAAGGATCACAACCATTATATAATGACAATTTTTGTATATTGGGAATTTTTTTTTTTTTTTTTATGTTTTTTCATTTAGAATAGTGTAGTATTTGATATTTCCATTAGAAAAATGAGATAGACTATATTGACAAGGAAGATCAATAATAGACTTCATACTTGAAGAAGTGGAGTTGCTATTTTGATAAATTTTAGGGGAGGTTAATGTAATTTTTCAAAGTCAATAACCTTATTCCTGGGAAAAATGGAATTGCGAAGTGCGGACCCAAACAAACCAGCGATCGTTTAATACGACGTCGTTGGACCCTTTCATTACCCAGGGCGAAGTTTGAAGTTTGGAGGGAAATCAAAAGATGTTGGTTAGCACAGGAAATGCAATTGCAAGCCAATATTCGACCCACCATACAGACCACCAAAAAGATCATCCTCCTTCGCTATCCTCTATCTTCTCTGTCCAACCCCTTCTTTCAACCCTTTCGCCATAGCAGTGCACACTATTTACACCTTTCAACATCATCATCATCGCAATGGTTCTCTCTCCTTCGCACTGCCATTTCCACAAGCAACCTGCGTCTTGGCAAATCCATACACGCGCATATCATCATCTTCGGCCATTCTGCCAACCGATTCTCAACCAACAACCTCATTACAATGTACTCCAAATGTGGGTCCCTTTCGGATGCCCGCCTGCTGTTCGACAAAGCTCCCAACCGAGACATTGTCACCTGGAATTCTATCCTAGCCGCCTATGCCCTCTCCGCTGATGCCAATGATGGCCTGGTTCATGAGGGTTTTTGCCTTTTCCGCCTTCTTCATAGCTCATCTGCTGTATCCCCCACTAAACACACCTTAGCTCCCGCCTTGAAGTTGGGTTTGATATCTGGATATGTTTGGGCTTCGGAGGCAATTCATGGGTACGCCGTTAAGATTGGTTTGGAACTGGATGTCTTTGTTTCTGGTGCTCTTATTAATATCTATTGCAAGTCTGGACGAATTACAGATGCCAGGGTTTTGTTCAATGACTTGCCTGAAAGTGACCGGGATGCTGTACTGTGGAATGTCATGCTTAAAGCGTATGTGCATATGGGTCTTGAGAAAGAAGCATGTACTTTCTTCTCAGATTTCCACCATGGCGGGTTAGGTCCCGATGACGTTAGTGTGCAGTGCATTCTTAGTGGTTTCCCTGAGGTAAAGTTTGACCAAGACAACAAGTTTGTAGAACAAGTTCAAGCATATGCAACTAAATTGTTTTTGTATAATGATACTTTGGACGTGATTTTGTGGAATAAAACACTGTGTCAGCATTACCAAGCTGGTGAAATTTGGGCTGCCTTTGAATGCTTTCTATATATGAGCAGATCAAATGTAGGTTACGATCGTGTGACATTGATTGTTGCTCTTGCCGCCACTGTGGCTACCAATGATATGGAGCTGGGCCAACAGATTCATGGCTTGGCTTTTAAATCAGGTTTTGATCTAGATACTGCTGTTGCAAATAGTCTTATAAACATGTATTCGAAGGCGGGTTGTTTTAGTTTTGCAAGAAAAGTATTCAGTGGTATGCAGGAAATGGATTTAATTTCTAGGAATTCAATGATAGCAGGTTGTATGCAGAATGGTTTAGAGGCGGAATCAGTGACACTGTTTCTAGATCTGTTACGTGATGACTTAAGGCCAGATCACTTTACGTTGGCAACTGTACTGAAGGCTGTTGCTTCTCTTACTCCTGGACTATCTCTTAGTGAACAAATCCATGTTCAGGCATTGAAAACTGGGATTGTTACTGACAGTTTTGTTTCCACAGCACTTACTGATGTTTATTCTCGGAGGGGAAAAATGGAAGAGGCAGAGTTTCTTTTCCAAAACCAAGACGAAATTGATTTGGCATCTTGGAACGCAATGATTTTTGGGTATATAAATTGCAATAATTGTCGTAAGGCATTGGAACTCTTCACTCTGATGCACAAAAGTGGAGAAAGGCCAGATGAGATCACGTTAGCAACTGTGGCTAAAGCCTGTAGTGGCTCGGTTGGGTTGGAACAGGGGAGGCAAATGCATGCTCATGCGGTAAAACTTGGGGTTAGTTCAGAATTATATGTCGGTAGTGGTATTCTCGATATGTACATTAAATGCGGAGATATGGTGGATGCGTTCACAGTTTTTGAAGAAATCCCTGCCCGAGATGATGTTGCATGGACAGCTATGATCTCAGGATGCGTGGAAAACGGAGATGAGGCCTGTGCTCTTTTAATATACCATCAGATGCGGGAATCTGGTGTACTACCTGACGAATATACCTTTGCTACCCTCATTAAAGCTAGCTCTTGCTCAACAGCTCTGGAACGAGGAAGGCAAATTCATGCAGAAGTGATCAAGTCAGATTATGCTTCGGACCCTTTTGTTGGCACTTCTCTTATTGACATGTATGCCAAGTGTGGCAACATAGAAGATGCCTATTGCTTATTCATGAGAATAGATGTGCGATCCATTACCCTGTGGAATGCCATGTTGGTTGGTTTAGCTCAACATGGACATGGCAGAGAAGCTCTAAACCTTTTCAGAGATATGGAAATTCATGGTATGGAGCCCGATCGGGTTTCTTTTATTGGAGTTCTTTCTGCCTGTAGCCATTCTGGCTTGATTTGTGAAGCTTACTTGTATTTCCAGTCCATGTTGAAAGATTATGGTATTCAGCCTGAGGTCGAACATTATTCTTGCCTTGTGGATGCCCTTGGTCGTGCAGGACGTCTCCAGGAGGCAGAAAAACTGATTGCTTCAATGCCCTTTGAAGCTTCTTCTGCAATGTATAGGGCCCTGCTTGGTGCTTGTAGGGTTCAGGGGGACAGAGAAACTGGAACACGGGTGGCAACTCGGCTCTTGGCCTTGGAGCCGTCTGACTCATCAGTTTATGTTCTTCTATCCAATATCTATGCTGCTGCCAACAAGTGGGATGAGGTAACTGATGCTAGAAAAATGATGCACAGGAAGAATGTCAAGAAAGATCCAGGTTTTAGTTTGGATTGATGTGAAAAATAAGGTCCATTTGTTT